GGTTGTTTCAGGGTTCAATCTGTGAGTTAGCCGTGCCCTGACTTAGATCAGCCCAGAAGTTGTTGCGGAGTTCAGTAAAATATAATAGGTTGTTGCCACAGAACAAAACGATTGAGTGTTTGTCTCCTCCTTTTTGCTTCCAGACAATATTTGAAGTTTGCCCTACTGCGAAATCTTCGGCTCATAAAGTAATGAGGTCCAAGCGGTAAGTCCTTCCAAATTTGCCTCCCTGAAGTTAAAAGGAAAACTGGTCGTGCTGCAATGGATTGTGGAACTGAATTTGGAAAATCAAAATGGACTAAATCCACTCGGTATAATGTTTTCCCATTTCAGGCCACGTGTCATTCTCTTTAGAATAATGTTTTTTGTTTGACAAGTGGACTTTGGTCCATTGCGGTACTTTTCAATCTCGTGCCTAAATTCAATCCCAGTTCTTCTGCACTATGAGGTGGCCATTGGTAATAAATACTGCTAGCTTTCGACTTTGGAAAATCGCATTGATAAACACGTTGACAACTTGATTTCAACCTGTGATACATAGACACGTTTTTTGCCTCCTAATGACTTATGCATAAGACCTTTTTTGCTTAATATTTCTATCGTTAGTGACACATTTAGCGTGATTCGAACTTCCTACAGCATGTCGAGTCACAGCAGAAATCGCTTTTTCAAGACAACGCTTCATAAAAACGTTTTTTAGGGGCACTGGAAAATATATCGAAGAAAGAGTTCCAATAGACTGCGAGCAGTCCCTCTATTTCCCATGGTCACTGTAAGTCTGTCTTTCCGTGTCGACAGTGACCATATGGGAAATAGAGGGTCTTAGCTCGCAGTCTAGAGTTTCAATAATGTCTTGCTATCCAAGATGGCCGCCGTATCGTGATAGCACATTCAGTGTTGTGTTTAGTGTTTTAAATCTCCTCTTATTCCAAGATTAGTCTGAATCTTTCAATGAGTTAACGTAAACTAATATTTTCCAGAGAGAGACATGGAGAGGTAATAGAGAAAGCTAAGCAAAGAAAGCTTGAGCATGAAACAACAGAATCATGGAAAACAAGTTCAGAGACGGCTGATGATGGAGTGAATGACAATGATGTTGATATGCAGGTAAAATTAATCAGAGTAGCATTAAAACTATACTAAAAAAGGCTATCAGGGCCCATCATTAGGGCGCTTTGAGGAATCAGGGGTGGCGTAGTGGTAGTGCACTCCCTACGAGTCAACTTTGAGGTCACGGGTGCGATTCCTGAACTTGTCATCACGTGAGAAGATTTCATTCTCCCTTGAATCGAGGGTTTTTCTGGTGAGTTTTCTCCCTCACTACTTGTTACATTAATTCCAATCCGATCTGCGGGTTAACAGTGCCTTGACTGATGAATAGACCTTAAAGGTCCTTATAGCCATTCTCAATCACACGCGCCCTCTAGCGATTGTTTCTGTCGCGATGAAGAAGCTTTTGGTGGACGTCAATCAAGGCGTTTCCATGACATTCTATAGGCATATGCCCTTATAGCTTTGTGTTTTCCGACAATGTTATGGAAACACCTTATGATTAACGTCCACCAAAACCTTCTTCGTCGCGACAGAAACATTCGCTAGAGGGCGCGTGTGATTGAGAATGGCTGTAGTGGCCTCTTGCTTTGATAAGCCCAGAGGTTGATGTCAAATTTGATGTCAAGAGATGGTTTGCAATTTTTATTCAGTAAAAACTCTTTACAAAAACTTGTGCCTACAGTGGTATACCCATGCAACTGACATTCGAGCCAATTTTTCAACAGCAACGTTGCTTTTTCTCATTTAATTGATATTTTTGTTTGATGTTTAAGGGTGTTTTTACAACAGTGATTGACCCGGGCAACAAAAACCGGGGGAAATCGGGCAAGTATACAAGAGTTCGACAAACGTTTACAGCGGTTTACGATATTCTGCTAGCTCGGTAGTTGCGAGCTTGCTTGCTGAAATTTTGGCTGCCGTCAATCAAAAATAATCCGTTGGTACCTTTTATGTTCTTGACTGGCGGCAGTGAAAAAACGATGTCACAACAAGCCGTTGAAATGTCTGAGTTTGCAGAATATGGAAAACCGCAGTAACACTATATATATATTGAATCACGGTGGTACGCAAGAGGGATTACGGAGATATACAACCGAATTATTACCTCAGATTTATATCGAAATGGATTGCAATTCATGGTTTTCACAGGGCCGCCATGTTGGATGAATTTAACAAAAGATTCATCATTATTCTCTCATGTTATATCATCCAACATGGCCGCCCTGTCTTTTTATAGGGCGGAGGGGGGCTGAGGGGGTGAATAGGTATGTGGTGGCAATCATGTTGGCTAATATTTCCTCGTTGCAGGATCTTCCTCTAACTTCCGAGATGAGAACTACATACCTCACCGTTCATCAGATCATTACGCAGAGAAAGGACTGGGGTAAATGACACGATTGACCTTGTTGCACCTATCACAGGGAGCCCAATTTAGATAAAAGTGTCTTGGACCAAAATACAATCCGGAATTCCCTTCAATACTCCAGATTCGAGTTCTCTGTTGCACAGCAGTGTTAGCCTCTTTTTTATTCAGAGTATTCACGTCTTCCAGTAAAGGGTGGAATTTCAAAGTGTTTGTATTGTTGAAGTTGTGCATTCTTTACTTTACCGTTTGTATTTGTGAATATTTAAACACTGATGCGAGGCTAACCCTGTGCAAATGAGTCTGTAATCAAGAAACACAGCAGTAATTTGGAACTCGAAACGGTCTATTGAACTAGGAAAATCATGCATATTTTTCCGTTTTTGTTTTCCCATATAATTCCACTATAATGTCCTACACATGTTGATGGCCAAATTTTATTTTATTTAGAGGCTTTCATCACCCTAGTGTCGTAAAAACAAAGAAAAAAAGTTAAATGCATAATCAAACAATCGTGATGAGATTCGAGGTCCTGGCGAGGCGCCCCCCCCAAAGGGCAATGTAGAATTACAAGTTTGTTTTTTCCCCTCACTTCCCCTTTCCATTACCTTTCCAGATTTCTTTTTCCAGCCAACGCTTTTTTTCTCCCTATGCTCTAGTCTCCTACGAATACCCTTCTCGTTCTACTGTTGTAAAAACTGTTTTTATATCATTGTTTTTGTCGTAGAATGGGGTTAAGCACATTTGAAAAAGTAGCAGCCGGTTCAGTTATCGAAATCAATGGGGACGACGATCTTGGATTACGGAAAAACAAGCATGTCAAGAAATGGTATGAAGTTATGCATGAAGTGATACCTTATATAGAAAACCTTGTGGGGTGGGGGACAATTAGGATTATAATCTAAGAACCCCCTAAGATCTTTGATGCACTGATATCATTGGAGGTAAAACGCTGAGAGGAAATCATGGGTTGATAATAAAAAGGAAAATGGAAATCTTCAATTGGATACGTCCCATAAAAGCAGCGGCACTCTTTACAACACAAAACGAAACGAAACAAAAAAGGAAAAAATATCTTACAACAAACAACCAATAAACGAAACATAATGTCAGTGATGGTGTTTTATCGACGCAGTAATTTTTGCTTGATTTTGCTTGATTCGCTTGGTCTTTTAAGCCTGGTTTTCACTAACGACGCAACCCGACGCAAAAGCGCAAGTCAACGCAAGAAAAGCAAAATCTTCCGTGCGCTTGCGCTTGCGTTGCATCTTTCGTCGCTATTTTTTTTTTTTATTTTTTTTTTATTTTCATATTGAGAACATTGAGTCGTTACTGCTTCTTCGGCTGGTGTCCCTTGTGAGAACCGGACATAAAAGACTTCACATCACACGTCAATTTTGCTCAGAGACAAAGCGATCTTTCTCACATTCTCTTGTATGCCTTTTTTTCCATGATTCGATTCTTTCCTTGGCAGGGACCGAAAGAGGAAACGATTTATCGGCGCAGATGAAGAGAAGAAAAAGAAAATCAAAACAGAAAGTGGGGCGCGGATCCCTGCCACCTACAAGAAAGACATGTATCCTTGTTGAACAGTTGTCCCTCCCTCCCTCCCTCTCGTACTTATACTTGACCGCGCCCTATTGCCTTTACAGCTAATTCTCCTCACGCGTGACCAGTATCTCATTTTTTGATTGGACTTTCGACGGCTTTGTCTGAAATGCCAAGCCTTGGAGCCAACTACGCTCAAAACTTTTTTCAAGCTAATTATCAGCGATGTGGTTGGGAAATGAATTCTTTTGGAAAATATTTCACAATCATTCATGATAGCGAATTCAAAACCTAATTTTGTAAGCCGTAATATTCAAACATAGGGATGCTTTTTCTTCGAACTTACCTTGATCCTTGATCTCAGTTAACATAAAGACAGTACAGGACTCTAAGTTCAAATGGCATGCTTTTATCAACTAGCTTCTGCCGTATTCTTCGTCTTTTCCCAGTGTTCCATCCAATAACGGTCGCCTTTAATTTCAGAATTTAATTTCAAAGCATAGCTTGGCCCCGCACTTGGATTTGATCTAAATTTTAGATCTTATTCGAGTCTTTGGCCGGCACGCATTGTACCTCTTGTGCACCATCTAGCTAGCTTCTACCGTGTTCTTCCTCTTTTCGATTCACTTGCTGTTGCCCTTGTTTTAAGCCTTTATTTTCAAGCATACCGTTAACGTTGCCATTCCCTTGTTTTTGGTCTAAATTCTAAGCTCTATGTCAATCATTAGCGTACGTTGAGCTCGGCCACGCCCTTTCCCTTCACCTCTACCATTCAACTTCTCTTTCCTTGTATTTGACTGTTGCCCTTATTCTCTTCATACGTTATAACGAACCCCAAGTAAATCAATGGAAAACATTGTGTTCTTAACGGGCACAGATATAAAACTTGGATCAAGAAAAATCGTATGGACGCGCCCGGCACTACGAGAGACATGGGTGATGACGAGGGCGTAGGAAAGCGTGGCAAAAAGGGTTAGTATTAACTGGTGATTTTTCGTCCATGCTGGTTCTTTTTCTGTGCGGATGACAACGTACCATGTAATGGAGGTCCCGCCTCACTGAGAGTTGAACGTGATGGCCCGATTGCATGGAGGTTGGATAGCGCTATCCGACGGAAATTTATTGGGTAACAGCATAAGGATTTATCCGTCTAATAGCGCTATCCACCCTTTGTACAACCCGGCCAATTATAATTTCTAGTTAGTAGTAATAATTTCTATTCTATGTCTATTCTTTGCGTACATATTTACGGTGTTCAACTTACCTATAGAGACTGAAAATATCGCTCTGGGATCCTCGCGAATACCCTACATTTCATATTCCGGCTGCCTTACCAGCGTGGTTGGTCCTTGTGGTGTAGTGGTCAACACATCGGACTGAAATACCGAAGACGTGGGTTCAATTCCCGCCTAGGGCATTGATATTTTTCTCTTATTCTCCCTATAATTTCTAGTTTGTGCTCTCCTCTACTTTAAGGGGTTTTTCTGCGGGTTTTCTAGTTTCCTTCCCGCCAAAAATATCAACTTCTAAATGAGACACCCTATAGATATGCCTCTGTGAAATCCCATCATGTTGTGTGTCTGTGTGTTTTTTTAATCCTTTGTCATGCATAACACTAAATAGTTTTTAGTTAACAAATGTTTGACCCTCAATATTCCATGAGCAAATAGACCTTGAAACATGGACTCCAAGTCTTGGTTGGACTCGATGTGTTAATGCATTTAATGTTATGCATTTATTGTATTTATCAAGCTCAACCTTCACTTTATTTTTATTTAAACATATTTACCGTAATATTTGCCCCAAAAGCAACGAGACTTAACAAGGGGGCTTACGTCTTCACTTGGTCCTGAAACACTTCAAAAATCCTTATTTCAGGAAAGTTTAACAAGAAGGGCGCTCACAAAGGAGGAAAAACCTTTCCTTCGGCCAAAAACGAACTGAAATCCAAAGATCAAATACTGAAAGCAAGAAAAGCAAAAGAAAGGCTCATGCAGAAACAGAAAATGGGCAAAGATAGGAACAGGAAGAAGAAAATGATGCAAGGACGATAGTTTAAACCTTGTTCGGTTAGGTTTGATAAGAATCATCGGTTTATTGATACAGTACATAAACATACATTGATTTTAAAAACATGCATTATTTTATTGACATGGTGTACAAAGTGCCCCTATTGCCTACAATACTTTTAGTATTGATTCTACTTGAAGTGAATAATTGAATGGTGAAATGTTTCTGCATTTGAGTTTGCGTACCTTTTGAATGTGACGACATCTGGTTAGATTTGTTTAACTTGTAATGCTAAACACAGGCCATTATGAGACACCAAATTTACAATATAAATTGTGTAAATCATGAGTATGATTTTGATATTTATTGAATACTTTTTTCTTGAACAAGAATTTGTATTTTTAATTAATACCCAGATTGCATCAGAGCTAAAAGTGTAAACCTTGATATCTTCAAAATACATCACTCAAATCATATGAAAATGTTTTATCATTCAACTACTAGTATTCACTTCATGTAGAATCAATACTAAAAGTATTGTCTCAAGCAGTACGGGCACTTTAAGTTTCAAGTAATTCACTTGTCGTATTCGACACACTAATGTAGTGCAAACAAGTAACATAACATTATCTTTTCCGTCGTTTTGATTGGCCGAGACAACTGCAAATAACTACCTACAAATAATAGTTTGCTCATGCGCAGTAACGATGCATTTGTCAACATTGCTCGCTTCGCTGTGACTTGGTGTGCTTGATAGACAGCAAAACACAAGGAGAAAACGATTATTGAACTCGGTTAAAAAATCTCGTTTATCAGACTAGCAGAATTACCCAAGTAAAATGTCTTTTTTTCTCTCTAGAGATAAAAAGGGTATTTACTAGAATATCATGCAGTTCTAGCAGCGGCTCCTAAAATATCTATTCTATCTGAGTTCTTCTACGCTGAGATTTCTTTGTGCGCAGCGTGTAAAAAGAGATTTTGATTTTTCGTTCTTTAATGTTAAACGCGTTACTACCTCATTCTCTTGAGTGCTACATCTAGTATATTCTTTGGCCTAATCTTGGGTGCTTTAGGTGGACACTTCGTGTAGGAATCAAATTGTTACACTAATCTTTACAGTTGGGATCCCTGTTTGATCGTTTTTGTGTCCGTCCCGTTGATTTTCGGAGTGTGCGGTATATATTTTCAGTGGAGGTCATCATGAATTTATGCGTTGCTTCGATTACGTCCGAACCAACGTTGGTAAAACGTTGGCAAGACGTCGTGGTTTGGTATACGTTTTCGAGATCAACAAAGTGAAATATATTTTTCCGACTGTAATAATGTCTAATTCAAAAATGTTTATTGCTGGAAGCGTTCATTAAGGTCACGAAAGATTTAGTGACAGTGGTCACGAAAGATTTAGTGATAGTTTATGAGTCTTTTAGCATTGTTATGCACTCAGAATTTTTCGCTCGAACACTGGACTGCCGCCACTATAGATCACATCCTTGCCGAAGGAGATCGACTATGCAACTTTTTAACAGCAATAATTGTTTTGTAAAGTTATTGTTACTTGAAATGTACCTAACGGTTAGGAGATCGTTACTTCAAATACCTAACCGTTAGGAGATCGTTACGTGAAATACCTAACCGTTAGGAGATCGTTACGTGAAATACCTAACCGTTAGGAGATCGATACTTGAAATACCTAACCGTTAGGAGATCG